CTGAGTTCGTAAGTTAAGATAAATCAAAATGCAGAATTCCTGTGCTGCAGAAAAATCACACTGATAAATCACATTCTAGTTAATTCCCTGAGGGAAGCCTCAAAACAAATCAAACCTTCACAATCATAAATTCTGATACTTTGGGGAAGGTAAAACACCAAGAGGATACCTTAATGTGCCTGAATTTTCAGTTCTAAGATCTATTAAATAGAAAATCTGCCCAACTTCAAGTACAAAATATACTTGTACTTCAGCTAAAAATACAAACTTCACCACCAAAATGTTAGCATTTTATAGGCAAATTCTAGATTTGAGCAAAATGAACCAAGTTTACAGATCAGAAGTGCTGATATGGTGATCTCACTTTCCACTTTACAAATTGCACTTTAGAATAGGGAATTCAGACTTATGTACCCACATGAAATCTACTCAACGTAGTGGCATGAACAAGGACAGAGCATAGGACTGATAACAGAAAGTTTTACTTTTTTTAGAAAAGTTAGAGAAAAGAAAAATAAAAACTAATTTATCCATTTATATATGCATAAAAATAACCATGTGTATTTGGAATCATTATTTGCATATGTGTCCGACTGCATCTGACATTACCAATGTATGTTACTTAATGTTAAAATGTAGTTCATCTATATAAGCCAGCACACTGGGATCAGATCAAGCTCAGTATGGCATCAGGAAGAATTAAAATTATGAATTGTAGCAGGGACTCTGAGAGCAAATTAACTTTACCTATACATAAGAGAAGGCATGCAGTTTAAAAATTAAGAGGAATATCTGACCTTATATTACTAATAATCACTGTATAGGTACCTCAGTTATTCCTAGTAGTAGACGAGGTGATGAAACAATGGTTCTCAGATCTTCCCAGAAATCCCTTATCGGCAGCTCACATGAAGGATTTACAGCTTCAAGGAAGGTATTCCTAGCTGCTGGCTATGGAAACCACTTGAGCCAACCACATGAAAGAGAAAGCACAGAACATAAGATTTCTAGTATTGAAAGAATACTTTTCATTTCAGTAGGTCTCCTAAGGCTTTCATCTGGGAAATGAGACCGGTGAAAGTTGATTCTGCTTTGTTATTGCCTGACAAAAACTGAGCCTCAGCTCCCACAGTACTTCATTAAACTGAAATTTGTGTGTGTGCATGTACTTAGAAAACCATTAGTTTACAGGCGTGGGCTGAAGTATACAGCAAGTGCAAAAATAAAGCTCACGAGTTTCATATCACTAACAAGCATTTTTAACACAAACATGTTGGGGAAGGCAGCAATATTGGGGCTTACAGTACAAGACTAGGAGTTTGCTTTGCTGGGGTCTTTTTCTATCAGCTACACCTCTACACACTCACTCTACTTGATAAGAGGGCATTTAGGCTGCCTTCCTTAAAGCTCGATTTTAAAGCATTTAAAATACTTTAAAGTTTCCACAACTTCTGGTGGGGGAGAAAGAAGAACACACAGTACTTTGAAAAAATTAGTACAAGAGTATCTGAAATCAGATCCCTGAAACCTAAGGCACCCTCCAACTTCTATTATTTTTTAAAATTTATTTGGCATCTACTCATTGCTGAGCTCCTTTTCTCATGGAAGACTGACTTCTCCTTGACCTTTCCTGACACAGAGAGTAATGTGTTATCATTGACTGGGATTGTGAGCTTCTGGTTTTGTTTTGTTGGTTTTTTTTTTTTTCAGACTAAATATGTCTGCAAATAGCCAATCTTGCTCCTATTGAATTTATCCAGTCTAGTGAAGCTGCTGATACAAGACAAAAATAGAACTAATTGCCAGTCACACAACTAATTGCCAGTTGCACAAGCAACTTAGATGATGACTGCAATTTATTCCACACCAGAATTAATTCACCTTCACACCATTTGTTAAACTATAGGGTGGCAGAGTTAAAACATGCTACCTTTCAGGAGAGGTTGATTACAGATTGTTATCCCTATCTGCTCACAGGAGTGTAAAATTGTTCCATACTTACATACCTTCCACAATGCACTTGCTCCACCTGTTGCCCACTTGCATTTCTGCAAATCCATCTACAGTTGCAATCTGTGTAAGAAATTGCTTTGTTGTTAGGGATAGTTATGAATCTTTATGCCTGCTTGCTCACGCCTAGCATAGCCAGTACTACTGCCTTCTCTACAGATCCTGGAAAGCACAATCAACAGAATTTCAGAACAGCTGGTGAGCCACAGATCTGAAACAGGAAACTAGCTCAGCTTTCATCCTAGTACACTAGAGTTAGAGTCTGACAAGCATCTATCAGGAAAGTAGTATTCACTAGGTAGTTAACTCCTCAAAGCATCCCCAATTTAGATTATGGGATTATCAGCAAATGCACATTCCTCCTTTCCAGCACTTCTACTAGGTTAGCACCAAGAACAAGGAGAAAAAAAGATGTCTTTAACTGAAAGAGACGCTTCCACTAAACAGCACTGGCAGCAGTGTCCTCCATGATACCCCATTGTGCTGCTTGTTCCTAACAGCTCAAAATGACTGACCTGGGAGATGGCAAAGTGCTACTTGGCTCCTCTAAGGCCAACAGCAACCAAAACTTAAGATTTGCTGTCACTGGGCTCACACCGCTTTTCTAGAAGAGATAATTTCTTTTACCTAGTTAATATGTACTAGTACTTTTCTTTCATGCAAGTGCCAGACAGAAGGTGGGGAAATGGCTCAAGCTCACATACCATGCAGAGGGGGAGCTGGAATAGATCTAGGAAAAAGAATTATATTAATGAAGCATATTCTTGCAAACACAGCACTTCTAATGCCAGGGGTCCCAACTGCTTTCAGAAGCCACAACTTCAGGCCACAACTGCTTTCAGAAACCCCAGAGTAATCACAGCATCTGTGTTGCCATCTGTAAGCTGTAGATCACTGTCCCATCCTTTAAAAAACACCAATCAGGTCATCTTCAGGACACTTTACTGTACTGAGCTTGAATGCACAGCACAGCAACATCTTTAGAAAACTGGTATCTGCTGCCCTCCCCTGCTCTGTCAGCATAATGTGAAGAGCAAGAACAAAGAACCTCTTCCCACTCTGCCCCTTCCTTCTGTAGTGGGGACAACATAGCTACTAAATTCTGCTAGAATAGCCCCAAGAAGGTCTTGAAGCTGAATAACAAGCTAATAAGGAGGTAGGAGGGAAGAGTGCCCTATCATAGTCATTCTGCCCTCTGTGTGATGCTGAAGTCAAGTTTCCTGTTGTAATCACTTACTCCAGAACCTTTGGCCACCTTAACACAAGGAAGATGCAGCAACACCTGTTTGGCACAGCTTTTAAAGGGGGTTTTCTTCTCTCCAAACCCTTATATACTTCATTTGAACCACTGAATCTGTTCCAACCACAGCTAAGCTTTCTTGAGCAGCAGTTATTGTATCTGCTTTTTTTTCCTGCCCATGGGAATTTAAGGCTGAGAAGAGGGTGTAGTCAGCACAGAAGATGGACAAGGCAGTTTCCCAACACAGAAAATGGTGGACAGGACTCCAGGAGAATCTGAGGTGTAACTACAGTAGAATTCAGCCATGGCAGAGCAAAGTATAAAAGGTGACTGGGGGAAGGCAGGGAGGCATCACAGAACACCAATACAATTTTGAATTGGCTGGCAACACTCCCACATGAACTGCAAAATGTTAACTGTCAGTACACAAATGGCTCAGACAGATCTGCTCCATTCCCCACTCAACACAATCATAAGACCAACTTTTTAGAAGGCAGTTTCTTCAGTACACTTCTGTTTTAAGCCACACAGTTGTGTCTTCCCCATTTCTACCCAAATTTAGGACTTCTTTAGGACCTTTTGTGCTAGTTTGAAAACAAACTAGTGGGAGACACCAAGTCAGAATAACAATTTAATAAGAAAAAAAAATTATAAAGGCAGATAACACTGCCTTTAAACTAACTAAATTAACAGAGTCAGGATACAACCTGACACCCTGTTAATCAGGGTGGTGGTAGCAGTCTGGTAGAATGGTGGCTGCAGTTTCGCCGAAGCAGTGATCCCGTAGAGGAAAAAAGAAGATCTGCTCTTCCTCAGAAAAGTCCAGTGGTGGCTAAGCAGCTCCTGTCCTCTGGAAATCCAGTGGAAAAGAGAGGCCTCTGGTATTCCGAATCTCAGGTTATATCCAGGATGGAATGCTGGTTTTCTCCCTCTGGGTGGAGCATCTCACAATGGGATAAGGAGCCATGCTGCACGGCATTGATGGGCCATTAGCAGAGAGATAGTCTGGAGGGGGGGGAACAAGGAAACACTGCCCCACCTGATTTCCACAGCTCATGAGGATGGTCATAGAATCCTCTGCAACCCAGGACACCTTTATACTACCTCCCATTACCACAGTAGCCAAGGCCTTCTGTGAAGGTCAATAACAAGAAGCAGTCCTCATCAGGCTTGCAGTTCATTGCACTTGTCATTTGAGTCATAACTCTGCTTGTCACTGTCCTGGTTCAGCTAGGATAGGGTTAAGTTTCCCCAGTAGAGAGGGGGAAGGGATCTCCAGGCAGGTTATTCATACCATGCTGACATCAGGTCCAGTGCAGGAACAAGGGAACTTTTTCCTTTGTGGCTTTGGTGACAGGGAGCACACGGCAGGCTGTCCATAACCATCGCAGTATTTCTCTGTATATCTTTTGTCTTGTTCACTGTTATTACTGTTTATTGTTGTTATCATTGCTACTGTTGTTCAGATTATTTATCACACTGTTGTATTAAATTTCTTCTTATTTTAACACCCGGGTTTGTGCCTCACTGCCAGCCTGACCAGCTGAGGGTTGGGGAGGGGCAACAGCAACATGGTCTCCAGTCCCAGCAGGGCCTAAACCATCACAGACACCAAGTACTTTGGAGAATGAAGGGGTTGTTTTTGCCTCTAGAAGCTACAATTTTAAACACACCATCAAAAAGTAATGCTTCTTATTAAAAACAAAAGCAAGTATGGGAAACAGTGAAGCTTTACTGTTGTGGGACTGTTTCATTTGTTGTTCCTAACAGGTATGTATTCCTCTCCAGCCCAGCTTCCTTATGTGTAAACATGTCAGTGTTTGCTCTAATACTATTTTAACCCAACTGATTGCATGATATGTGATTAACAACTGCTTGATGACTTCTGGTCACAGTTTTATTTACCTGTCAGCCCTGGGAAGGCAGCAAAGGGGAAGGGAGTAGAAGGAAGAAAGACTGAAACAAAGTTAAATTCTATTTCAGGTAAATTTATTGAGTTATAAAGAACCTGTCAGCTCCACCATATTTAAAAAGGTTTTCAAGATTATTCTAGAGCTATTACTGCTACTGAACCACAAGTTAAAAATGCATAAACAAAATCAACTATATCCATGTCAAGTGTAGAAATACCAGTTAACTTACAGGGCTTTGAGGCATACTCAAACATGGACAAAGTGTTTTCCAACCACTGATCTCTAAAGCCACCAGCAAGATTCTCATTTCTCCTTCTAATGTAGCTATGCCTGAAGATCAGGAATCCTTATACAACTGTTGATGGCAGATCGGTTCTGTTCTTCAATATACACATTTTGAATCAGGAATTTAATCAGACAGCTATTCAGAAGCAAGCATTTCAAGGCATTAAAATAATGTTAAAGAGCACAATGAAATCCCCAGTTGGTTCCATTTGATACTTTCGTGAGGTGGTATCACTGCCAGATGTGCATGTAAAATTCTGTCATCACTTTGGAGTCACAAAGCAAATGAAGTCAAACTTCCCAGGGCACTGTCACTACTGATGTCTTAAGCAGCACTGCAGAAACTGCTGTTCTCTTCTTACTGTCCATGACTTTTAAAAGCTGTTTACAGTCAATTTCATCCACTTGGCTGCAAGAAGAGATATTAATGCTCTCTACATTCACTCATCCACCTTTCCATTCCCCACTCCCTCCCCAGAAAAGATCATGAATTCTCTAAAAAGGGAAGGAGAGAGAGCAGGTCTCCCAGTTCATCTGGGTTCATTTCTAAGTATTTCAGCTGCACCTCAAGTCCTGAAGCAGTTCTACATTACAATACCACAGTGCCAAAGGGATGTGGACAGATAGACAAGGCCTGTAAGCCCACACACCTGGATGCAGGCAGTTCCCACTGACAACAGGTGGCTCTGCTTGCCTTGTTAATAAGCCTACAGTAACTTTTACTTGATACTGAAGTTGACACCTTGCAGAATGTTTGGGTAAGAACCTAAGCACTCAAGTGCCAGCAGCCCTTCTCAGGGCTTTGACAGGTGAGCAGTTGCAGATCAACAATGTAACTCTAACACTGACTTGTAAAATATCAACTAAGATTCGGAGTTACTCTATGCACAGAAAACTAAAAACCCAGAAAGGAGTAAGTTAGTATCAAACAGTAGTAGTAGGGAAGATGCAAATAGTATTTCAGATAAAAACACTGAAATATCATTGCTTGTACAAAGCAAGAGGAAACTACCAGCTTTATGTTTAAAAGAGAAATATGTAACTTTGTTCCTATTGCTACAAAAACAAAACCAAAGGGAAGCCCAAGCATCAATCATGCAAGACATTATCATCTAGCTAGTCTTTTATGGAGTATGTGTGACACTAATGGGAACTGACACCAGACCTGGAAAGTCTACCTCTGTATAGCAGGGAGACTCAGAGTCACACCATACTCACACCACTCTCCTCAAAGGAAAAAAAAAAAAGGTCCTCTTACACTTATGAAGTGAGCTACAGAGCTGCTCACTACAAAGCAGCAGCTACTCAGCTACCCTATGATTTTAAAAGTTCATACTATCATCATACTAAGGGATTTCTCACTGACTTCTCTTGAGATTTGTAGCTGGGCCATGCTGAGAACACATTTCGCTCAAACAATACATACACAAGTGCCAGCCATGTTGGTAACTGAGATCAGAATCCAGATGCTCAGGTGTTGAAACACTGGGTAAGATCTAAATTTAAGTAACAAATTTGTATTTGCAAGTAAGATTAGAGCAAGTCTTCCAATCTTCCAAAGTGGAATTATCCTGATGTTTGTATACATGAAGAAAATAAACTGCCATACAAGCTACACTACACCCAACCACAGTATGAACTGTTCGAATTTAGTGCCAAACACTCAGCAAGAATCAAGCTATGACTGTGAGGAGAATGTTATAGAACACTTTCAGGCATGGCAGAACATCCTTCCCTGCCACCATGATGGCCAAATGAGCTGTACCCAGTAACACATCTTACATGCCTTATGTATCTCTTCCAGCCCTGCAGAGAAATTGATAGAGAGAATGCCACATAATATTACCATGGAACATATTATCAAGAGATCTTTACAACTCAGGAAAGCTTAGAGGGAGATTTTCCTAGATTTAGTTTTACTGAGGTAAACAGGAATTATTTTAACAACTTGACTAAGAGATGATCAAACCTCTAGTACATGTTACTTGAGTGTTTCAGAGCTATTCAGGTCACTCATTAAGAGCTAAGTGATAATTTAAACACTGAGCAGGAAACCTCTGTGCTTCATTTGTTGACTAAAGTCTGAGTTAAATCCTATTATTGCAAGTCAACAAAACGCAGTCACACTAGGCTTTGCAAAGATGGTGGAGGAAAAGGGATTCCTTCTAGATTATTTGAAAACTGGAATATAGTGTAACAAAAGACAACTGTGGTAACTATAACAGTCTAAGCATCGCTACAAAATTCTCTGGACCATGAACTGGCCTTGGAAGACTCAAAATATCAAAGGCAAAGAACTGTACAGCTGATAGTGTTCTAAAAGACTGAAGGAACTCCATCCAGAACAAACTGTCATGGCCACTGACACAGAAGAATCATACTGAATAACTCTGTTACCTGGTAGCCACTTTATCAGTGAGAAAGTTTTACTGCCTATAACAACCTGGACTTAGTCTAGTAAACTGGTGCTTTTCCCCTTCACAGATTAGGACTGATTATTGGTATACACCAATAACATATCCCTTCATTTCTGTACTGGGCCACCCATCAACTCTACATCTGGGGTAGACTGCCCTGCAAGTTCCCATTACCTGAAGGATCTCCAGTTTTTCAGAATTTATAGCCTCATGTTGAGATCTAAATTCCAGGTTTTTTGAAAGGCAAAGGGTTAATCTACCAACCTGAGACTCAACAACTGTCCCTTCCAATTATATAGCACTTGAAATTGAGACTCTCACACAGTGCAATCTAGCAGTCATACATCAATCACCACACTTTGAAAACAGCTGGGTTAATGGGATTTTACTTCTCAGCAGATTTTACTTTCCCTTGATCTTCCACTTTTTTGATGGCAGCTTGGATAGCTTCTTGATCACCCAGAAACTGGTGAGGGCCAAGAGGGTGGAGATTCTCATCAAGTTCAAGAAGTATGGGCACACCAGTGGGGAGAGTAACATTGATGATGTCCTTATCAGAGATGCCTGCCGAATAAAAATAAAAAAAAAAGTTACACCTAGTGAACAGCTTCCTAATTGTCTATCTAGCTCAGCCTTATTTCTGAGATTATCTTGTCTTAAAACAGCCTCCAACACCACCAGCTTACTGAAGAGTCAATTGCCAGATAGTACTCAGCTTGGTTAGTGCTTTAGGAACACCTAAAGGAGGGGAGTCCCACCAAGGTGAAGACAGTTTCTTTTTTTTCAGTCTACATGTGTGAAAAACAGGAAGAGATTGCCCTGGAGATTATACCTTTCATTTAAAACAGGACATTGAGGACAATAGGTTCTCTTCCAGATCCTCCCAACTCATTCATCACAAAAGAGGATTAGAGTGCAAAGTGCTACTCCAACATGAAACCACCTCTGCTAAGCAACCAATACAAACAGCCTCTTTAAAAAGGCACAATACCAAGGTTAATTTTTCTCTTAAGTTTTTTATACAAAGCTTCTCACACAAGCTGTCTTATAAATCAATATTTAATTCTTCTAGTGTAAGAATCACTGTTTGCCCACATCTAATTTCTCAAAAACAAGTTTATAGTATCTTGCCTACAGTACTGTTTTCAGAATTACTAGGTATGGGATATTCATTTCCACTTTCAAGTGAAGGAGAAGGGAAGAAAAGTGAGAAAGTCAACTTGTACAACTTGGAGCATTTTCCCATATTTTTCCAGTTCACTAAACATGTACCTGGGGAAAAATTATTTTACCCAGCTGTGCTTAGTTCAAATATTCTGGAGCTCTAATCTTTATAAAATTGCTGGTTATTTTTTTTTTTAACACACACGCAAGTTGCTGAAGCATCCAAGTAAATTTTGAGACCAAACCTCCTATTAAAGCTTCTACAAAAGGTCTAAATATTTCTTTAAGAAGCAGTGACTGCAAATACATTATTCCACAGAAATTTCAGACAAAAGAATGCTAGCATCATTGGGAACATCAGTATTTATTTTTTGTCCCCTTTTTAGAAGCACTAACATCACAGCAGCAGCCTGCTGTTGTAAAGCAGGGCAGCTTCAAATAATTCATGCTTACAAAATGAACACAATCAAGCTTCTAAAGTGATGACACCATATAAACTAGACCAAGGTGCATGAAGAAAACATCCTCTTGAGCAGCTGACAAAACAGATGGTTCTCAGAACATATGGGTGCAAATTTAAGTAGAAAAGCAGAACATATTAACAGGAAAACCCACAAAGTCAAGCCACTGGGCAACAGTGGGATAACAACAGGTCAGAAAAAGAACTAATCATGAGGTGAGAATTATGTTATCCCCCTGCCCAGATACTACACAAGCATGCAACTTTTGCAGTGACCTATTTTTGTTTTGATTAGTCTAAGCACTTCGTTCAGCTGTACAGTTAGCCCTAAATTTCAGAAGGGCACAGAGCAAGAGAAACCTTGTAAGAAGCTTACACCTTGTTAAATACTGAGCCATCAGTCCATTAAAGAAGTCATACTCTGCCAGTTTAAACAATCCCTGTATACAAGGGATAAATAATTCACCTGTTGTAGGCAGCAGAATCAGACCTACAGAAAAGCACTCAAGGAGAATGTACAATTTTAAAACCATACAGAAATCAATGGGAAAAAATACCAAGTTCATTTACCAGACACAAGGACTATTCTCAAGGACTTTGGTTTGCAAAACAAGCAGCCAAGCTGCCTGAACTCTTATTTCAAGATTCTTAAATAGATTTTAAGAATACATGTGTGTCACCATGTTTATCAACAGAAAATCTGGCCCTAGGAAGTGTTCTGCCCACCTCTCAAACTCAGTCTCCCAGAATAAACCATTCAGATATATATAAAGCACATGAAGTCATGCAGGACAATTTAGGCAAACTACATGATGTGGTCAGGAGCCAGTATATTTAAAGGTTTCCTCTGAAGATGGATTAAACAAAACAACTAGCTACATGGATTCAGAAATGCTTTTTACAAAGCAGAGTGACCACACCAATGTCAACTAGTATTGATTTACAAAGCAAAACAGTGCAGTCTAGGAAAAACAAGCTGCAGCAAACATGTTGGCGTTCTCAGAATTATTCCTCATATAGAAGCGTTGCCTCACAGCCAGAAGGCTGGTGCCAGAAATGCAAGTTGAAGTCAGATGAAAATCCTAAAGAAACAATAGCGTCCTGTTGCTTTATTTCAGTACTGTTACTGTATTTGTATAGTATTTCTGTTCTTCAGGAAGCAAGAAGTTGATCAGGCTTGTCACACAAGCTCCTCAGTTGCAGGCAAAATGCACACATAACACTCCCCATACAACAAGTTAGGAGGACAGTAAAGCAATCACAACTTACACTCCAGACATTGCAAGTGCAAGCTATCTGCTATCCGATTACTTCATGCGCTGTAACTATAGTAAAGTGACCTTTTCTTGCACTTCATCTGAACTGGCCTGTATCACAATCCCATCCTATCCCACAGGGAAGAAGGGTTAAATCAGGGCAAGTTCTCAACTGCTGACAAGGTGCAACGGGAAGTAAGACCATTGCAAAAGCAATACTCTTCCCTCCAGTATAACACTAAAGCCTGGATCTCAGCACTTCTGAAGGGTAGGGTGTTGCTGGAAGCAGTCTTTCCCCAGGAAGGTTTAAAAGTAAGGTCCTACCTACTTACAACCATGCGAACCCACATACATTACTGAAGTACTCAGGATGTCTTCCTCAGGACCACAGGGAAGACGCTGACTGGGCAACTACATTCCTCAAGTGGACATCTCCCATGTTCTCTCTCATGAGCATCTGTCAAGCACTATTCCTTAATGGCAGTTGTATAGCAGGAAACAGTTAGGTACATGAACATTGTAAGAGTTTGGTACAGCACTTACTAGAAAAAAGATCTTCCAAAATCACATTTGAGAATTCTTTCCCAGCTCACTTACGCTCCATTTAACTGAACTAGGTCAAACACAGAGACCAGTGATATCTCTGTGCAAGTTTAAGAATTCACCTTTACCTGGTTGTCCATGAAGTGGTTTACAATACTTGCACCCTGGAAAGTCCTAGAGGCAAACCCCACTGGATTTGACTTTGAGCAACTACACCTAACTTCTACAAAGGGCTGGCACATCTTCTCCCTCCCTCTCACTTGCTCTTACCAAGTTCCTTCTATTCCTATGGTCAGAACAACACATAAAACACAACAGCTATTGAGAAAAGCTACACCCCTCCCTTCCCTGCATGTCAACTACACTTGAGGCCAGATGATTCATCCAACAAAACACAGATGATCATATGCATAAATTCAGCCACAATGGGCTTGTTCTAGAACTGGTGCTTTGTAATTGAGATCCAAATCGGGTCATAGCATCCTTCCCACACGCTTAATGAAAATACTGAAGCTTCAGCCTAATAAGTTAAATATTCAGGACCATATTCTGCCCTCCCTGCAGGTCAGCAGAGGACCTAGCTTCAGTAGGGTGGAGAATGTGAGTGGGCACAGCTTTACAGAATGTTAGCTCACTGGGCAGATTTTAAGGAAAGAAGATGATGACTGGCTACAACCATGGCCGCAGTATACTATCTATTTCTTCACCCTTATGTCTGCCAAGATTTTCTATGTCTCTACTGGGTTTGCATGGCAAGGTTTTGGTAGCAGGGGGGCTACAGGGGTGGCTTCTGCGAGAATCTGCTAGAAGCTTCCCCTGTGTCAAATAAAGCCAATGCCAGCTAGCTACAAGGCAGACCTGGCACTGGCCAAGGCTGACTCCATCAGCAATGGTGGTAACATTTCTGTGATAACATATTTAAAGAAGGGGAAAAAAACCCACAAAACCCCCAATGCTGTGCAGCAGCAAAGGACAGGAGTAAGAATGAGAAAAACAAGTCTGTAGACACCAAGATCACTGAAGGAGGGGGAGAAGGTGCTCCAAGGCCTGCAGCAGAGATTATCCCCCTGTCCTGGCTGAGATGGAGTTAGTTTTGCCCATAACAGCCCTCATACTGCTGTGCTTTGTAGTGGTAGCTAGAAAGGTGTTAACACACCAGTATTTTGGCTACTGCTGAAGAGTGCTCACACTGCATCAGGGCTGTTTGTCCAGCATTCTTCCCTACCACCCAGTAGGCTGGGGGTGGACAAGATCTTAGTAGGGGACACAGCCAGGATAGCTGACCCAAACTGACCAAAGGGATATTCCATACCATATGACTTCTGCCCATTTTTCTCTGCAAGAAAATCTATGAGGAGAAATGGCCTGGGGGGTGGGGGAAGGGGGGGCATGCATTATTGACATTTGGCTTCCAGAGCAACTGCTGTGCATACTGAAGCCCTCTTTCCAGGGAGGTGACTAGACATCACCTGCTGATGGAAAGGAGACCAATTTTTTTTGTTTACATTTGTTTCTGTGCATAGCCTTTGCTTGTGCTTTATTAAAACTGTCTTTAACTTGACCCATGAGTTTTTTCCATCTTATTTTCTTCCCCCTGCAGTCCTGCTGAGGAGTGGAGTGATAGAGCAGCTTGGTAGGCACCTGGTATCCAGCAAAGATCAACCCACCACAGTTCTAGTTCTTTTGGACACCCAACATGGGGCATGAAGAACTGTGGGCTCCTAGAGGCAAAATTAACTCCATCTCAGCCAGACCCAATACAACTCCTCATCAGTCTGACTCTGGCTGTGGTCATTACTGAGACCATCTAAATATGACACAGTGTAGGAAAGCAAACCATGAATCTATGATATTCCCATGCAGTAGAGAAATCCAGCCTGCCTTAAACTCCTCAAGCAGTCCAAGATTAAATTGGCTGAAAGAGGCATGAGACTTGCTACTACCAGCACTAGCTGTCAACTATGGCATTAGGTAAGAAAGCTCCATAACTCCTAAATAGACCCAGGCTGCACTACCACCATCAGGAACTCAAGGCAACACTGACAAATGGAGTTCTCTAAGCATGCAACTCTGAAGCCTACCAGCACACATACTGCCCCTGGACAGAGCTCTAACAAAAGGTTCCCATCTCTGGCTGAAACAGTATTGAGAGTCCCTCAAACCCACATTTCTGAAAACCAGTCACTACAACTCACATCTGAAACCTTTCTGTCCCAGCTGCAGGTCCTGATCAGGCTGTTTGCACTATCATCAGGCACTTGCCAGCCCCTTTCCTGAGGTAATTCAAACCACCAAAATGACAGAAAAATACCTTGCTGCCTATCCTTGCTGCTTCTTGCCAGTTTACAGGCCAAGTTAACTTGCAAAAAGGCTCAACGACCCCACGAGAAATAAGCAGGAGAAGCAGAGAGAAAAGACTAGGATGAATGACAGGGAGTGCAAGACTCTCATTTCAGCAGCAGTTAAGTTGTTACATTTCAAGCTGGTTTCTGTAACTACCCTCAGACACCACAGTCACATAAGTAGTATCTCCTTAAGAAAGTCAAGCAACAAAAATCAGTAAAATAAACTTACTAGATAGTCCTCAACACAATCCTTACTACAACTCAACGTGTAGCTCCAGCATGTTAAACTACTGGAATATTGTAGTAATTGTACAGTAACACACTCACTGTAAGACAAGAAAGTAGAATCCTTGAGGGCACTGCTCTCCTTGCTCACCAACCAGTGACACCAGCATCAGGCCTTCCCAGTCACCACATTCTGCCTGCAAGCCTAGTTCCAGAGCTCTGCCCCACCTCTGTGACCACAACCAGACAAGCCCAATGGGTGCAACAACTGCATCCTTCAAGAGACCAGGTAACTTCTCCCCTCATTTTTTTACCCTGAACCTGAGAAGGCTCAGTGACCACCATACCATATCCAAGAGACATCAACCTTTCAACAGGGAGGAAAATCTATAATCAGACCTTCCACAAGACCCTGTCTTGAGGTACTTAATGTCAGTCCTCAGGGTTAAATGGTTAGGAGGGAAGAAAGTTGAGACAGCCCATCGATCCTTCTGCCAGCCACATGGAAAATTAGTCTATTAGACTTGGTGTCGAATTAGTACTTCAACAAAAACTGGGCAAGGTGGTCACAGCTATTACACTAATGTTGTCTTCACAATGGGACAGTGCTAAGAGGGTATCAATCTTAAATATCAGTTATTAAATAAAAGAGCAAACTACTCCTTAAAAAAAAATCACCTGTAAATAGACCTTGTGCACCCAGGATGCTTATTTAGATTTTAGCAAATGATGCTTTCATAATCATAAGATTTTACTCTGGATGCTGAAACAATTGTACAAGTCTGATATCGTTACTTTAGATACCCTCCTCATTAACATCTTGCTATCATTCTTTTTTCAATGCATCAGAGATGGCATACCATGAAAGAAAAAAGATGGCCTGTTTAAAGACATGAGTTACAGATCATGGTCCATACCAGTAGTTGTCACAGAATAAAACAGTTGCTAAGTTACGACAAGATACTTCCACCAGCAAGCATAAGACTGCTGCCTGAAGAAGAAAATATTACTTTTAGAGAGCCTTTCCAACATTAACAACATATAATGAAAACTGCCCTCTTGTTCTGCCAATTTTTAGCTGTGCCAATGATTCCTCTGAAAGGACTCCATAAGCTTAGTTAGACTTCAAAAACTGATACCAACATAGTATCTTTGACAGGACAAAACTGCTACACTTGTCCTTGGTGGGATTACCTATAAGGAACACAGTCCAGCATCCCCACTGGACATCAACAGCTCACAGCACCAAGATCTTCAGCAGCACCCTCTGGGAGAATGTCATTCAGCCCACTGAGACAGAACAAGCTCTCAGACAAGCTGCTGTTTCTAACCTCCAAGTGCATACAAGAGTGTGGACCAGTTTGTGTTAAATACTGTTTCCAGAAAGACTACTGGGGTTTCACTTAAGTCCTCACATGCAAACCATGACAGATCCTACAGACATTTCCTATGCCTTAATGAGGTCTACTCTGAGCACTGACAAAACAAGAACAAAATCCAAACCCACAATCAAAGCCTTCTTAGTCTGACATTCTGTTGACGTGATGATCTGCATGCAAGTAGAAAGCAGATCCACATTTCAAGCTCTTCACCAGTTACTCATAACAAGGAAAACATTCAGATTGAGAATTGCAGGCCCATTTCAAAAAAATACCTCCTTGAAATAGTAGCTTCAAGCATGCTCTGGTCTTTCAGAAAATACAGTTTCACACTGAAACAATTAGAATAATTTCATCAGATCAAACTGAATTAAAACATTCATATTTACTTTAAAGTAAAGTTTCCAGGCTACATCTTCCAAGATTAAGTTATTGCTATCACTAAGACATCCAAGCAGCCACGTAGGATTGTTGCTTGAGGCATTTGGAGCCAAATTTTCTAAAAGCCAAAAACCTTGGCTCCAGCTAACAGAGGGGCCTAGAAACTTCCACTCCACTGCAGTACACACTAAGCTTGTCAAAAGTAGTCCACAAAAGAGCCCACCTAACAGTGAGTGCTATAGATACAGTAGACTGACAAACTTTAAGCACTGTTGAATCAATTCCAGCTCCAGCAAGGCCCCAGAGCAGCTCAACTCACACCCTTTCAGAAGAGAAAGGGATAGACAGCCAGCAATGCAGAAAAGGAACCTCTTAGATCCAGTCAGATAGAAGCTGGAGCTCTGAAAGAAAAGAAAGAGCAGGCTGCAATAACAGGGGTCTTAAAGCTCTGTTCACACCACCCTTCAGGCCAGCTCTGCAGCAATCCAGATCTCCACTGCATAAAGGGCAGAATAGCCATCATGTATCTGACAATTACTCCTGTGTGGGAGCTGGAGTACCTGATGGACAGTCCTCAGTCAACAGAACTAGATCATCTGCCAAGGATACTTCACATTTCCCCATGTAAGCACATGTTGGGAGGGACAAGGTTAAGAGTGTAGGTCAGCAGAGACACAGTTCTGTTCTACTTTGGTTGAGTATGGGCAGCCCTGAAGAGTAATACCCAATAGATTGTCCCAAAGAAAAGCTTTGCAGCTGCTCTAACTTACACTGTTCTCTTTGATCTCAGTGCAGCAGGGAATCCAGCCATACTAACTTTCAGGTAACCTCTAGCAGTCACTGATGCTGTCAGCTCTAGCCTTGGTGCATGCCTGCACAAAAGGTGGCCCACAGTCTCTGCTGAAGTTGTGGTCCTCCAGCATTTCACCCCCAAAGGGCTTGGCCAGCATGGCTTCATGGAATGGGTTCAGTTTGGGGGGAAGACTGGGGTGTACAGGGGAGACACTGTGGTTGCAGATCCCCCTACCCCTATTTCCTTTGTAATTCTGTCATTTCACATAGTGTGGACAACCACCTTGACAACATCAGTGGAATGGGCTGAACCAGCCTTCCTCTGTCTAAGCAGTAATCTGTACCCCAGAATTCACAGCCTCTATAATTCCAGAAGCCACTTGTACATGCTTATTCCCTGGGCTTCTGACTCCTGCTAAAGCATCAGCTGTTCTGACTGTTCCAGCATGCCTGAATGCAAAAAGTGCTCAGCAAAGTCAGAGCTGTAGAGGCACACACCAAAGGGTTTTATAACTAAAAAAGTTGAGTGGACACAATCCACTCTGAATACTTGCAACTACAACTCCAGTAGGCTGCATTTGTACATGTGTTATCATTAAATTCTATTCTACCCACAAAGAAATTAATATAGTCCATCTTCCAGTTTAGGATGACCTAAATTAGAAGCCGTGTCATTAAGGACAAGGCGGGGGAAGAATCCAGCAATGACTTAAAGATAAATCACATACTTTTCACATCCCCCCAAAATAAGCAACTTTATGCTAAGCTACCAACTTAGCTGTTTATTGGTAAACATTTTCTATATTGGGAAATACAGTATTTGCATAAGCTTTAGCAAGTACCTACCCTCTGAACTCTGTCATAGCAGTTTTTTAAAGTAAAGATTTATCAAGAATGAAGCCTCAAAAGAAAGCCACCACAGTAACAGTCAAGAATGTCTTTCACAGCCCAAGGCACTTTATTCTGCTGTGTTACAGCAATGCTTGTTTAATGAACAGAGTAATAGTTCATTCAACCTTTCCAAAGCAACCAGATAAATCTAAAAAGAGTTAGAGCCTGAAGAGTTTTTCTCTATCTAGACCAACCTCAAAGCTAGTTTGAATACAGTAGTTTAAAATGAGCAGTGAGAAACGCAGTGAAAGCATCTGGTTCTTTTCTGGACTACATTAACCTAACTAATTCTCTCCCCCTTCCACATCCCCCAGTTTAATTTCTGTTCCAATAGGCTAACTCTTTACTTTCACCTTGAAGACCACAGACATTGGTATTACATTGCCCAGTAACATATGCTACAGAACAAGATGTAAAGCTCTAAGCAGTTGAGTAAGGAGAAGAGGGAAAAACTATAAGACAGACCCTTACCTTCCAGGTGCTTCAGCAATGCCCTGCTGCTGTTACCATGAGCAGAGATGAGGATCATTTTGCCACTTTTCAGTTCTGGCACTATTTTTTCATTCCAATAGGGAAGGAGTCTATCAAGCACATCTTTTAGACTTTCAGCCTTTGGGAGATTATCCTGAGAGACATCACTGCATTTATACCGGCGATCATTGTATATCTCTTCATAGTAAGGATGTGATTCAGCTATGGGAGGTGGGGTAACATCATAACTTCTCCTCCATATTTTCACTTGCTCCTCCCCATGATTCAGAGCCATTTCAGCTCTGTTGAGACCAATCAGTGCACCATAGTGACGTTCATTCAGCCGCCAGGAACTCTGAATGGGAACCCACTCTTGGCCCATCTCTTCCAAGATAAGCCACGCAGTCTGGATGGAACGGCTGAGTACAGAGGTGAAGACGAGGTCAAACTCAAAGCCCAGTGCCTTAAGGTGTTTGCCACAGTTCTGAGCTTCCTTTATCCCATCACTGCTCAGCTTCTGGTCCACCCAGCTGCAGAAGCGATTCTCCTTGTTCCAGGCTCCTTCCCCATGTCTCAGAAGAACAAGCCTGTACTTAGCCATTTTGGTTGCAGCTTAGCACAGATGACAACAGGTCTGGCATCTAATAACGGTGCATCTGGACAGAGACATTAGACAGATACATCAAACATCTCACAGATAATACATTACAAGTAGTCATATGGCAGCAAAGAGTAGACAATTAAGAATCAAAACAATCAAATACAAGTGTCTGCTGAGTATGTTTTTACCTTTGAGGTCTCTGAACTCCTCAAAGTGTTGCAACTAGCCCACTTAACCAATTGGTTATCAGCAGATTTGCACAAGCTGCTCCTGCCTACAGACTTCCCTCAAATGCTTAAACAGAGCCTCATTCAACATCAGAGGCTCCCAGACAGAGAATTAGATCTTGTTCTCACTAGTGAACTTAGAGTTGAGACATGGAGCCCAAGCTCCTAAAAGCTGCCCAGACCCACACTGCTGCCAAGGGAATGCACGCACAGACAGCAGCTGTGATCCTCAGACAGAGCAACTGGAGAGGATGACCAGAATTGGAAACAGTAATGCACAGAACCTTATTAACTTTCCTCAAAGGAGACATCACTATACTCATGCTCTGCATAATTTGTTTCCTCACATCCCCATCCTGTCCTGCTAATTATGCCAGTTTCTGCTTCATTTTTCCCCAGGCCACCTCCTCCATCATCACTCCACACAAGTGTGACAACACAGCTACTTTGGGGATGCAACACACAACTAGTGAGTCCTCATTTCACCGAATCCAGAAGTGATCTCGGATTATTCCACCCCCTTCCTGACTTTCAAGTATATTTTTTCTTCTTATGTCTATGAATTACAATGCCAGATTCTGAGGCACCAGGATTAATGTTTTTACTTATGCAGTGGGCACAAATGGCATATTTGCTGACCTCATTAAATAACAGACAGCTACATATTCATAAGGTCAAACAGCATCTTTCCCTGCTCCTTTGACTAAGCAACACCACCTCTGGATTGTCTTCAATGGCAGACAGATTTTGACCACCCACCCAAGCTTTTGCAACATGGCCAAAGATCTTCTAGCAGATTGTGAGATGTCTGAAAAGCCCATCTAACACAGCACTGCAACTCTGAAATCCCCACCTGATCATTCTGACCTGTCACAGACTAGATATCAATGGTCAGAATAAGGGAAAAAGTAGAAAAATACAACTCTCCGCACTGGCAGTGCTCTCAAAACCATGGACAGTGGGACACTGAGGTCCAATTTCTGCACACCCAACTTTGGATCAGGTTTCCATAAGAGACATACATATGGGAGCTCCTATCATCTCAAATCAGTTGGAGCTGGTTCAATCACACTCCAAGTCCTCAAGTGTCTCAAATTCAGGCCTGCTGTGACCCTGAATTAGGTCAATAGGACAGGTCAGGCCCATGCATTCTGGGTTTTGGGAAGCACGCAGCACAGTATCAGCATTCATTTTTACAAGATTTTCAAAAAGTGCATAGAAAAGTTGAATTCATTAACAACCTCAGTAATTTGATCTTAACTGTAACAGCAGCTTACTTCTTCACTCCCACAAAAGACAAACTACATCACACAGGGACACTACACAACACCTCCCCAGCTCTTAACTACTGGTACAGCTCAAGATTAAAAAGCCTTTGAGAACTGAGATTTTTAGAGTATCAGGAGGTATTGTCTGACACACAATAGACAGTTGTTAAATACAAAGGAAAGTCCACTGTGATTTCATGCAAAGGAGGCCTGAATTTTGCGTACAAGGATCATTCCAGACAAAATCCCTTGCATGTCCTACTATTTACACTCATAATAATCAGTTGCACATTGAGCAGAGCAATCAACTATGGTTAGAATTCAGGCATCATCTCACATCAGATACAATACTAAAGTACACCCTTTAAGCTCCCAGGTTTGTAACAAAAAGAAGAATCAGATCACATTGGCTTTAGATGGAAATGCTTTCTCTAACATCCCATAGGTATAACTAAATATTGCAGTGCCTTCACAACATGAACTACTACACAAAACATAGTTCCATAAAAAGCTCTATCTCTGCTGATACCTCATTGTTCAGACTAATTGACTGTATTATCCACAGGAACAGATTGCATATTTTACAAAACCAAGTTAAGACTGAACAATAAAGGAGATGCACCTGTTCGCACAAGTTCTTAGCTGGCTACTGCTGGTCAAAACCAATAAACAACTCAATGAATATAACTAAAAAAAGTCTCATACAAAGACCCAAGATCATCTGGGGACCATAAACTCCAGTTATACAAAAGAACAGGCAGAATCACCATTCTTAAACAAATTTAGGAAGGACTGGCAGTCACAGGGTTGTTTAAATACCATTCTACTTATGGAATCATTTAAGCTAGAAAGCCTTAGAGCAACACATGGAAATAATCCTACTCACCTTTCCTATGGCAAAGGAATAACCTACACCAATCTCAGCACATACTCAAGAGCTGCTTTATATGGAGGCCACCACACACTCGGCTCATTACCTGCAGGAAGAGAATAAACACCAAATGCTCACACAAAAAGAAGCCAGAAGTGCAAATGGTTATGACAACCATCATCTGCTCTCAGAGCTGTAAGAAAATAGAGTACACACCCCTTGTAAAGGCTGGGAAAGCTACCAATTCCCTTCTCCCAAAAAAATGCAAATGTACAGCTCCTGCACTTCCAACAAGGGAAAATCTCTTGTCTCCCAGATGACCCAGGATATCATTTGCTCCCCAAGATTTGTTTAAACTGCAACTACTATAGCTCTAGTGCACAGAAATAAACCTCTGAGACACCATGGAGAATACAGCCAGCATACATGGACCGAGAACAGAAACACAGAGTTCCAGCTCAGCTAAGAACAGAGCAAGGTGCTTAGGACAACATCTTACATTTGCAGAGCTTTTAGCCAAGCACAGTTTTAAGGTCTAACTGCCAGAAGAAGTCGTTTCCAAGACTCCTCACTAACCAGCACAAGCTCACCTGCTCAGCCCTTTTATGTAAGTCCCTGTGAGGTCTGCGGTCCACCTGTGTCCCTCTCAGCCTTCCCTAAGAACGGAGACTTACCCACTAGAATGGCAGAAACTCCACACACATATACGGGGTGCCTCATAGCTACAGCCCCCTCAGTAAGCCGCTACCTGCCCCGGGCCCCTGCACCACCGTCCTTTCCCCTCAAGGATCCCCCCCACACACACACCCGGCCAGGCCCGGGCCCCGGCACCTGCCAAGGGCGCCCACGTACACCCCGGCACTCCCCGCCTCAGCGAGTCTCCCCCAGGCCCCGGCAACCCCACTCCGCGGGGCCCGCCGGCACAGCCCCTCCGAGGGAGCACCCCCGTCGCCTTGGGCTCCGGCGCCCTCCCCCCATGCTCCTCTTCAGAGAGTTAACGGACTAAATCCGCGCTGCCTCACCGGGATCACCGCGGCCGGTCACAGCCCGCCCGCAACGCCGCTGCCGCCGCCGCGCCGGGAGAGGAAAGCTGGGCCCCGCGTCTTAATGAGGCCTCGGCGGCCCCGCGCCCGCGAAGCTGCGTGAATCTGACTGGCTGCTCCAGAGGATGAGCACCGCCCTCGACCAATGATACCGGGCCTTTGGGCGGTGACGCGCGGGGGGCGTGGTGCCCACGGGCGCGCTGGGAAGGGAGCCGAGCCCGGGCCGTCCGGGGCGCCCCAGCATCCTCGTCCCGCGGAGTGTGGGGGTG